AAACTTTAAAGTTTCAGTTTCAATTTAGTGAAATTCATTTTAAAATCAATGCATTAAATTTCATTTTATGCACACAGATTCAATGAGTAATTCAAATTGTTGTTGGCACAAACTTGATCCCATACATCGCTCCTTGCCCGGAAGTTGATGTTCTTCTTCGTGGGAGGAGCTGTCGTTGCTTAGTGCCACGTTGATGGAGACCCGTGAGGACGTGGAAATCTGTCCCGAGTCCGCAGACCAGACCCGGTAACTCGCTTCCTGTCTGTCCGAACTCTCGTTCAGTCCTCGATCAGAACCGAAGGATCCCCCCCGGGTCGTGTGTTCGTCTCCTGTCGCTTTATGTTCCTGTGCACGTGAGGAGCAGCGAAGAAGAAGAAGGTGAACGGATTTATGTGTGCAGGTCTGAGCTAGCAGCAGGTCCTCTTCCTGGACCTGTGTGAGGAGATAATAATGATCAGGACACGGTTGTCTTTTAGTCAGAACTGCCAGCTGCTGCAGATTTATGTCTTTAAACGTCAGATTAGTCACAGCTGTCACATTTATAAACTGCAGGACTTGTGTCAGATGTAAACATTAATACTCTGAAACATTTAGAGAAAGAATGCATGTCGCCCCTGCCTTTTATACTGGTGTTTTAACCTAAAATCACAGTTTAAAAACGACAAAGTTTCAGCTGTTTTGTCAAACCTTGAAAATAATTATGAATAACATGAGTGTGTTATTCAACATAATGACGTCAAGGTCTGAGGATGTGTTAGGTTAGGAATGAAGCTCATTCCACATCAAAGCTTACATCTATATCTGTATAATTTAATCAGTTAAAGCAATTTATCTTTTCAGTTTTTTAAAGGTTAGTTTGCTCCAGAATGAAACAGGTTGTAAAAGTCTTTTCAGTGATTATTTCCTATGGGCTGCTGTTTGTAAAGTTACTCAGTCAAAAATTACCACCAATATTTATGTTTTATTTAGACTTTTATAAGAAAAATAACAGATTTATTTTTCAAAGTCAGTTTTTCACCATATGATTCATACATTTATAAATGTCATAG